GGGTGAGTTGAGGACGATGGCATCTACTGCCGTTCAGGATATCCACACTGATGCAGGCGCTTAACAGAACTTCATGGGACCTCTTGTGTTTCTGCAGTCGGAAAAGCCATATTACACGACCGGCTGGATCGTCACGGTTGGTCACGCCCAGAGTACGTTTCGGACCAGATGCTGACAGCTTTAGATCGCAACTTCGGCGGTTTGTGTCGTCCTGGCTCTGGTCTACCGCTTCGTTTGCGCCCGAGACAACAAGATGCGTGATCAAAATGGCGTATCCGAGGCCTTCGAGCATGCCTACGATGACGATCTGACTGACCGGACGAACCCTCAATTTCGGTATACTTTGTAAGCCTTGCGAAGTATGAGCTCGGGCGGGGACGTGCAGTCACGAAGAGGGCCATGGAGAACAGCACCAGCGACAGCAACATTTGGTGCGAGAGACGTGAGCAGGTCGTACCCGGTGCGCTGGCATTACTTGTTCAAGATCGCGACCAACCACCAAGTTTCCGGGCATCCCCCTGCGGTCTGCTCGCAAAGCCCATCGTTTAGGGTAGTTATGAACTAGGCCGCGGCGCTCACTCGTACGGTGCCATCAGCTTGTTGCCGGCCACATCCTCCGCGAATGTGGGTAATACCGTAGTATGACACCACGGCTTCTCCTCGATCTCGGCTTTGATCGTCTTCGCAAAGCAGGACGACCACTTGAGCCTCGGATGCTGATCGACGACTTGCTTGATCACATCTTCGTGGATGAGGTGAGGTTGAAAGCCCATGTTGTCTGCATCATCGGTCAGCACGCTTGCAGCGACGCCACTCGGCCCACTTGTCTCTCACCGAACTCAGTAGCGAGCTGCACCAGCTGGCCAAGCCTGGTGATCATACCAGTCTCGCCCGGATCCTGGTGACGAATGATAGCCTCACACACACTCTCCGCTTGAGCCTTGGGTGCACCGAACTCTTGCAGCCGCTGCAGCGCCATGAGGCCCCCGTGAAACTCAAACGAGAGATGCGTGTCGTTCCTGTTCTCCGGCGTCGTAGCCAGATCATGGAACAGACAGGTCAACGCCCAAGTCTCGAAGAAGCTTCCTTCGACAGACTCGATCCAGTCGCGGAAATGCTGAAACACCATGGTGTGGCCGTAGCAGTAGACTCGCAAGCTGTGGTTGTACGTCTCTGTAGAGACAGCTTGCTTGACGTACTCCTGGGCCTTCCTCACCACATCGGTCTTCGGCCAGATTCGATTGAACTCGACGGTGTCCGCCGATGTATTCGCATTGTCCTTTGTTGGGATGTTCGACCTATTCCGCGGTACCGGCGGCCAGCCGAATTCCTCTATCTGTTGCTCAGGCATATCTTGGGTTGTGTGCGAATGTAATATGGAGTACCAGTAGAAAATGGGTGAGTTGACCGCTCATCAACCGGGCTTATCTGCAAGGATTTATACTCAACAGTGTGTGCTCCAAGCCACGCCCTGGCAATTCCGATGACGTTCTGATCGTTGGTACGCAGTGATGAGTAATGTACACTCAGTCGCGCCCTGGCAATACCGCAGACGTTCGTGAGCCAGTACGGAACGACCCCGCACCGCCTGCAAGCTGCCTTGTCCACAGCCAGGCCTCGCAACAGAGGAACACACACACGCACAGAACGATATGTCGCTCCGGCGCTTACTCTGATGTACTTAACAGCCCAACGCCCTCCGATCGCGGTAGTAGATCGTAGCAGCCAGCTGACCCACAGCGCCCGCGGACACCAGAAATTCCGATCATCACAAGCAGTGCCTCCTTGTCGACTGTTCAGCTTGGATCGATGCTCGTCGTCCCTCTCGTCCCTTCGAGGCGGGCGGGTCTTTATCAACCAATTCGTGATCGGTAGCATTGGAGTGGCTGGCTTTACGATCTGGCAAGAAGCCGCATGTTCGCGCAAGATCATCAGACCATATCTGAATGTTCGCTGGACAGCGCCGTCCAGAGAACCAGCTCCAACCTAGTTCCATCTTTCCGTCTTCGAGGTCGCGTTACGGATTGGCGAGTGTCGAAGGGAGTGGAATTTGCCATCAACGCGTCGGGAATGGCATGTCACGATTGTGTCGCCGTGGGTACATGTATGCATTGCACTACTACTGGTGTGGCAGAAGAGGTGCATCGAAGGGTCCGGGTGGTCAACACCGACACTATTCTTAGCCTCCGGGGCGGACGCGGGACACAACCTTAACCGCGGCCCAAAGCGGCAAGGGATCGTTCCGGACTTCAAGTATGTACCTGGTACTGTAGGTTCCGGATCACCTCGTCACCACCTGCAACTTCATGTCCCATCGCGAAAGAGTGCCGGGGACGACACCGTCATCACAAACAAGACCTGACCGCAGATGCGATGAACTAACCCCGACACCCAACATCGCAAGGACCAACGTTTGATGATTTGTTCTCGTCCCACCTACTGCAATATAACATGCCGGCAACGAATCAGAGACCTCAACATGCAAACCCGGGTGGCTGTTTCATCTGGCCAAACCGAAGGATTGCAATTGATTGCGGCCGAAGATCCCGTTTGTACCACCTCGAAGAAGGGACTTCTATGGGCTTGGTGGACAACATCTTGCAAAATCAAGGCTGGTTCACGTCGAAAGCTACGCCGCAGAAGCATACTGTTGTTATCGGGTGTGGTCGAGTGATCTACATCAAGCAAGCCCAGGGCAGACCAGCGCCTGCGCGCCCTTTGAACCAATCAACAGACTGGCGGTCCTGTCGTAGTACCCCGGCTGCACGAAGTCGAAGTAGAGCTGTACTCAATCTCAGCCCTTTCAATTAGGGGGTCCTAAATCGGTCGTAGATGGGATCCACACTAGGAGCTTTGCTGGTTGGCATATAGGTGGTATCGGCATCCCCTCTGATGTAACCCGAGTGGTGTCCTCCCTTCTCTTCTCTACCACGATTTGCATTCAATTCATCGATTCCGATGGCAGGCGAACGATATGACCAGAAGGCTGCGGCCGGTCTGGAGAGCGACTTCATTCCCGGCACAGAGCTGATGACAGGAGATTTTGCACGAGCTGGCGGTTCCGATAAGGGCTCCGTGTAGGTGTTGTAGCGTCAACTCTTGCAGAGCGACATTGATCTGACAACACATCAGCCTCGTACCTCACCCCTCGAATGATCCCTCGGAACCCTTGAACTGGTCGCTTTCATGGAAATTGATCACCGCCCTTTCTCAGCTTCTGTACGTGTGGGTACTGGTCTGCTCCGCCTTGTCGCTTGCGCCCATGTTTCCCTTTCTCGGCATGCAGTTCCATCTGGGCCAACAACAACTGTCACTCCTGACCGGCCTGAACGTTATCACCCTCGGGTTCTCGAACATTTGTGAGGCTGATCAAAAGTAACCCAGCGTGAGACTTGTGGCCGCTGACATCTTCGCATCCGGCAGTTATCGTACCATTAAGCAACATTTTCGGCAGGCGCCCGATCAGTATTTTCTTCGGACTGTTCGTAGTCCTGACGAACATCTGGCAAGCGCTAGCCACGACCCATTCTAGCTTTCTGGCTGCTCGTGCCTGCAACGGCGTTGTGGCGGCCACCAGCGAGACCATCATGGTCCAGGTCATTGCGGACATGTTCTTCCTTCACGAGCGCGGCTTCTGGGTCGGGCTGTACTTCACCTTCTACTTCAGCGGTGCCTTCCTCGGCCCCGTCATGTCTGGCAACATCGCCGCCATGCACGGCTGGCGCAGCTTCTTCTGGCTGTCCGTCGCTCTCGCCCTCTTCGTTACTCTTTTACTTGTCGTTGGCTTCCCGGAGACTAGATGGCGACGTAACCCGTCCGACCACACTGGCTCTAACAGCCACTTGAACAACGCGGGCGACCCCGACACCAAGCTCGAGTCAGAGATCCACGCTGAAGAGGCTGCCGGCGGTCAGATGGTCGGCAAAGGCAAGCCGAGCAAAAGCCAGTGGTCCCCGTTCCAAAAGCCGGACAGCAGATGGATGACCTTCGTCGTCCGCGACGTCACAACGCCCTTCATCGTCTTCTTCAACCCGATCGTCTTCTGGGCAGCCCTCATGCTCGCGGGCCCTGCCAACCTACTCCTAGTCTTCAACCTGACCGAGTCCGGCCTCTTCGGCTCCCCAGCCTACGGCTTCAGCCCTGGCGCGGTCGGCAACACCAACTTCGCCTTCTTCGTTGGCGGCATCATCGGCGTCCTGACCGCGGGCCCGCTCTCGGACTGGTGGGCCCGTCGCGCGACCATCAAGAACAACGGGATCCGCGAGGCGGAGATGCGGCTCCCGGCTCTCCTGCCCTACTGCTGCTTCTACCTCATCAGCCACGTCGTCGGCGCAGTCGGCTACCAGGACCTCTGGCACTGGCCCGTCATTGTCGTCTGTGGATTCGGCTTCTGCGGTCTCGCGGTCACGTCGATCCCGACGATTGCTATTGCCTATGCGGTGGACTGCTACAAACCCATTTCTGGCGAGATCATGGTCGTTGCCACCGTGCTCAAGAACGGCTTGGGGTTCTGCCTGAGCTACTGGGTCTTCAATGTGGACGCCCAGAGAGGCTGGGTCGCGGTGTACATGACACAGTTCGCCGTCGACATGTTTCCAGTGCTTATGACGATACCCCTTTACTTTTTCGGCAAGAGTCTCAGGAGATGGACAAGAAATTCAGATCTTCATCGGATGGAGGCGTTGATTTGAATTTGGGTATACTACCAGCGAAGCAGATGGAGTCGCCATTGGCGCACGCTGGGATACCAGACCAACATGATCTGACCTGTTACGCACATTTTCGGAAACTTACCGTAATTAAGATGCTACCTGTTGGAGAGAGATAGTTTGACACTATTCACATGGTCTGTGTCCCGGCAGCGAAAACAGTCGACACCGGTGGAGCTGGACCTTCCGGGTCTGCCTAGCTTCTAGAAGCCGGGCCGAAAAAAAATGATGAACTGACGTGCCTCCCTGTAATCACCGTCAGTATGAATACCATCAACAGGCGTTGGTTTTCGCGTACACCCAGAATTGAACTGAGGATCTTCGCATAGATTGTTGATCCAGTGGTCTGAACCGCGTACAAGTGCGACGCGTTACCACTGCGCCATAGAGGCCAATCGTGGTCGTATTTCTCGACCGAAGATTTGTGAGGTTCAACACCTTCCAAATTGGGAAAAAGCCAATAAGTAGCCTGCGTAGATTATCCACTTCTCTGCCGATTGGCATCGGCTGCCAAGGGGAGAGCCGAGAGTGTCACTGCTGTGACTATGAGTTGATGAGCGTCCACAGTATTCCAGAGCCCGGAAATACAGCCCAAGGTAACTAGGTACTGTAGAGACCTCAGGCCTGAGCGCGCACTGGCTGCGCGGGTCTCGGATGTAATGAAAGCTTATGCAGGCTTGGTCACCACATCCTTCCTCCTTCCGCCTTCCTCCGTCCGCCGTCCTCCATCATGCACCATCCAGGCACGTGGTTTGCTGGACATGGTTGGTCTTCACTACATGAACTCAACTAAGGCCTACAATGGGAACCTTCCCTATTGGCAGGCTACTCCCCCGTCTCTTCTTCTGCGTGGAACCACGGTGAGGCTGATGTCAGCGCCACACCCGACACAACCTTCGATCTGATCTCATACGCCTTACTGTCGTTACCCTGCAGTCTATCTTTTGCTTGGACAAGGCGCAAAGGCTATTACCGAGATGTCCGCACTGTCAGGGAACCGACATGTTACATCCGCTGACGCCGAGCGCAGGCCACGAGCATTGGCGGAGATTCAGCTGAACACAATACTTGGGCTGGATCAAGGCACATCCTCAGAGGATGAGCTGCCGGAAGCGCAGAGGGTCCCCGCGGATGATGCTAGGACCGCACTGGGAGTCAGTATCAGTCAGCAGCAGACTCGACTCAACTCGCCAACCACTCCGGCCGTAGAAAAGGCGGCGGCTCTCGCGGCTGCCGGAGGGTACTTCAGCAGTGGCTTCGATGGCACGGAAGATTCTGTGATCGGGGATAGCGTGGCGAAAGATGAGGGAAGAGAGGCTACGGAAGCCGGGCAATCGGTGACTACAAATGGCGTTGAGCGAGGGCACGTCCAGCCGGTGCAGCAGGGCACCGGGGACTCACCCGAGCGGTCACCGAGGTCGCCTGTGCGGCTGCCTTCGCCATGGCGAGCATCTTCAAATACTCGGAAGACGAGGTCATTGCTGCGCGATGGGTTGTTCCATAGGACGCAGCCCTCCACTGGCCCGGACTCCATCTTTGATGGGTGGCAAAGGGCTTTCCTATCCAACCTACCGTCTATGCCTAAACATTTCTCGATTTCATCCCCCTTTTCAACAAGTCAAAATCATGCTCGTACTGCCGGCCTTGACACACCGCTCAGATCTAAGCGCTCTAGCCTACAACACGCAGCCTCCACTGGCAGTAAGGACCAACCGACTCGCAACATGCGCCAGAGATCAGAGAGTGATAGTGTAGCATTGTCTCCGGCTCGTATAGCTCCACCAAATGGGAGCGACCGAGCGCACATTGCGTTGGACGATTCCTGGTTCCCGTCTGAACGACTAAATGTGCGCGCGCGACCTTCGCATCGTACACGCTCTGCTTCGGAGAACTCACTCCTCACCCAGCGCACTATGTCTGGAGTCTCGTCCCTTGGCGATGATCGGAGATTCCATGACGTACGGGACCAAGTCAATAGCAGATTCAAGGCCTTCAAAGACACTTGGCAAGACTCGAATCATATCAAGCTACCAAGCCTTCCATCGCTCACGAGCTTCAAGCCTGACTTCATCCGCGAGCGATCGGCATCGAATAGTAAAGCAGTTGGTGAGGATGACGGCATGTTCAGCCCTTCCGAGCGGCCTACAGATCCCATGACGCGGCAACCATATGACTCTGTCAAAGCAGCTGCGGCGGACACTGCAAGCAACAAGACATCCTCACAAGCGCGCCTGGGTGACGCGCTGAAAAGGCTTGAAGGCGACATCGTCATACTTGGCGGCTATCGAGGGTCGATCCTTCGCTCAGCGGAGCCGCCTCATCGCCAAGTATGGGTGCCCGTGAAAGTCGGCTTGAATTTACGGAAAGTTGATCTCGAAGTCGACATTGGCGCAGAAGCCGATGAGCGGCCGAGTAGCAAGATCATCCCAGGTGGCATGCTCACTCACATCGGGCCTGTGGACGTCGCTAGGAGGTTGTTCAAGCGAGTCCGGGCTTGCGAGAAAGTACATCAAGGCAGGCTGAGGGTGCATGACTACGGGTACGACTGGCGGCTGAATCCTTTGCTCCTGAGCAAGCAGCTCGTCTCATTCCTAGAAGGCTTACCTTGCAATCAGCCTGGCGTGCCAGAGGAGCAGCGTGGGGCGACTGTCATTGCGCACTCGCTCGGTGGTCTCATCACCAGGCATGCGGTCAATAAGCGACCTGAGCTGTTCAGGGGTGTCATCTACGCTGGTGTACCACATACGTGTGTCAACATTCTCGGCCCAATGCGTAATGGCGATGAAGTGTTGCTGAGCAGCCGTGTCTTGACAGCACAAGTCAACTTCACGATTCGGACCAGCTTCGCGCTGTTACCGCTCGACGGCCGGTGCTTTTTCGACAAATACACCAAGGACGAGTACCCGGTTGACTTCTTCGACCCGCAGACATGGATCGAGCACCGGCTGTCGCCATGCGTAGGGCGACCATTACCTCCGCTTTCACCACCGGAGAAAACCTCTGGTATCTCCGGCTATGTAAACTCAGTCACCAGTGCGCTACCGAGTCTCTCGCTTCCAAGCCGTAAGAACAGTGTACGCCGCTCCTCAAATCCCACCGACACCTCAAAGGCGCCAACCGCGGGCGGCGCGATCGGCGAGCCGGACACGAGCAGTACTGGAAGCGTTCCAAGCCTGACGAACGTCGACGCCAACTACTCCGAGAAAGGCCGTGCATCGTCCTCCGACGCAGCGACATCCGCCCGCACCGCCGTCACGATCCCATACGACAAAGCGGTCGCGTACCTCACCCGCACGCTAGCCCTCGTCAAGCAATTCAAGCAAGAACTCACGTTCGACCCCTCACACGCCGCAGGCAACAAGTATCCACCCGTGGCAGTCATCTACGGGAAAAGCATCCCGACTGTGTACGGCGCGAGGGTCAACGGTCGAGAAGGCATCCGTCACGCCGACGCGTACGATGCGCTGGCGTTTGCGAGCGGAGACGGTGTGGTGCTGGCACGGGCCGCTATGGTGCCTGAAGGGTATACGACGGCGAGAGGCGGGATTGTGAGTAGTGAGCGAGGACATGTCACCTTGCTGGGTGATTTGGAGGCTGTGGGGCGGTGTTTGAGCAGTGTGATAGAGGCTAGGAATGGAGGTGTGGGGTGTGGGAGGAGTGCGCGGGACAAGCCTGATGTTGCTGCCTCGGGTACGTAGGTCCACAATGCCTCGAGACGTCAGCTCAAAAAGACGTGGGTGTATGTACAATGGCGAGAGTGGTGATACACCCTCCGAGTATGTCTGCAGCCGCCGAGGCCTGCAACCACTAGCCAATCATCGTCCACCATCCTCAACTCCATCTTCTTCCCAAGCGCTGTCACGCTGTGCCACTGATTCTGTATGCTGCAATCCGCGTTTCAGACAACCGCTGTCGACCAGACAGAGTAGTCTGACGGGTCTGTCCTAGTCGACGTGGCTGCCGCTAAAAGCTCACACGAAGTACCTCCCAGCTTCTGTGGCCTCCGGATAGGCCCAGAGTTCCTGTGAGCTGAATCACACCCAGCAAGGACAGATCGCAGTGGTCAGACGAGGCATGTAGCTAAGCGGTATCACATTCACTGCAGGTACGCGTTAAGGGAGCACACGGAGGGGTTCCAATCCTTGTGACGGCGTCTATGCACGGCAATCCATTTTCTCGGACAGTAGAACACAATGAATATACCGTGAACGAGCCCATCATCACGCAATCGACTCTAAACACTCTCCCCCTCCCCAGCTCGCGGTGACGCAGCGGGCTACAATCCCATCTCCCTCGTCCTCGCCTCGCACTCCACCGCCTCTCCAGCAATGGCAGCCCCAAAACTCCGCACACCCACCCTCGCCTTCGCGGCCCTCTCGATCGGCCTGAACCTCGCCATCATCGGCTGCGCGGCGCATACTCTCAGCGTCTTTAACGCAGAGCAAAGCAGCAACGTCTGGCTGCTGCCCCTATGGCCGAACCACTTCGACACCAGGGAATTGCACGCTCTACTCGGCACCGCGACGGTCATTGTAGTGCTGAACGTTGTGCTCATCTTACCGCTGTTCGTGCGAGCGGTGAGTCTTCACGCAGTAATCGGGAGTGCCGCATGTGAAAAAGAGACTGACGCCCATCTGTGGGGTGGCAAGAAGCTCCCAGCCCCCAACTTCATCGCCCTCGCCTCCGCACTCCTCAGCACGGTCTGCTCTCTCGTCGCCGTAGTCTTCCCCGCCCTACTCAACACCCACGCGCCGCGGAGGGATACCCTGCAGACGTGGACGTGCCGCTGGAGCTCCACGGCTTTTGACAGCGGTGCGGGGCGAGCAGGAAGCGGACCGTCCGGGTTCAGCACGCTGTGCCATGAGACGGTGCGTGACGTGCCATCTTCCTCATCCCGCAGCAGCGTGAAGTAGCCTCCGGACTGATAGGGTGGGTGGTGCAACAGCGTTTCGCCTTCTACACCACCATCCCCGTATTCCTGCTCCAGCTGCTCCTCCTCGGCCTCGCAGTTTACACCTTAATGCCCGGCGGAAGCCTACGCAGTCAGCCCAAGGGCTCGGTATTCAGTGGAAGGGAGAAGTCCTCCGGCAGTCAGGTCGAACTGGGCAAGGTAGCAGGCGGACGCGGGCAGAGCTTCGAGACGAGCAAGACGAAGGGGAGTCCGCAGAGTCAGCAGGAGGAGCTGGTTGAGGAAGGGAGGAGGAAGGAGATGCAGTTTGCGTGATGGACCTGCTATGGCTCGTGCAAGGTGGTTGGTGTCAGATTTGCGGCCTGAGGCTGGAGACAAACGGTGTAGTCAGACCTTTAGGCCCGCGCGGCGAGAGGCGAGTAGTATACATGTACCGCTGCGTTTCTTCTGCGCGTTCCTGTCCAAGAATAAGGTATACAGCAT